CTTATCGAATAAGCCTGAACAAGCTCAATGAGAGTTCTGATGATTGATCCATCTACCGATTCATTGGTTCACAACAAGACAAACGGACAGAAGTGAATCTCACATGGCTCACTCCATCATGACCCAGGTAATCCCGCCTGACGTGATATGGCCTCTCAACTAAATTAGCTTGATCAAACTGATAGAATATTACTGGGTTTGAACAGTCCCGACCCAAAATTAACATACCGTATACCGTCAATCGTCAAGGATGTCTCAGCAATGTTTGTCGACAGGACACACTTTCGAACACCATCCGGTGCCACATGGAAAACTTTCTCTTGGTCACGAGCGGATAGTGTGCTGTGCAGTGGCAAAATGATCCAGCGCTTCGTTTGCTCTGCGTAAGCTTTGGCTGGCTCCATGACAGCCTAAAAATGAGTTACAGGGTATGTGTTAGGTTTATTGGCATGGCTATGTCCAAGATAATTACAAACATGTATAAGTTGGGAAAACGTACCTGTATCTCAGCCATTCCGGGTAAGAACACTAACAAGTCTCCTCGTTCGGTGGCCAGATATTTTGCATCGATTCGCTGTAACAGTCGGATGTAAGGACTGGGGTCCAATCGATCACTGGACTGGGCAATTTCAGATGGAGTTGGAGGGATATATTTCAAGTCTATTGGGAATAATCGACCAGGAACCTGAGTAGACGGATATAATAAGAAAATGGAAGAATCGTATGACAGCCTGCGGATTAATAGTGGTACTGGATCGTCCCGATCTAGCTATGGAATCAACCTAACCTAAAACCTCGAGGAATTCACTGGAGACGGAACGTAAACCAATGATTTTTTGTTGGAGTAAACGTGCATGGACTGCAATATGATAGGTTTTTTGTTGGAGTAAACGTGCATGGACTGCATAGGGATATGATAGGCAACAAAAGACCGACTGAAAGGTTAGAAAACATCAAACAGCCAAGGTTGCTTTGCCGAATCAAAGGTCAATTTAGCGGAGAGCAGTGTGGTTGGGTGCGTGTGGTGGAGGATATCAGTACGAGGGCAGCTTAAATGGTGCGAAACAACGGATCATAATGCGTGAGTTCATATGACGAGGAAGTCATCAATGCGCGAGCAAAGATGGAACAATCACAATCCATCCCTGTTTGAATCGTTGAGTGCCAATGGGGACGACCGCTTTGATATAATCGATACCGCAAGCTCCGCTTCCGGTTAGGGCACAAACACGACCAAGTCTGTCCATTACTTCAGTTAGTGCTGTCTTGAGTACACTTGGTAGTATGTGCAGGCCGTACATATAATTACATAATCGCAAAGCCATGGCGTAACCAGTATGGCGTGTTAACCGTCGTGAACGGTCTTGTTTCCTGACTCAATGGGATCCGTACATAGGATGTGGCGAAGTAAATTTTAGAGAAAAGGTTGCTGAATAAATCCTCTGATTACGACGCCGTTGAGTTGGGGTTTAGAGTTGTCCCGAAGTCGCCACAGATACAGGGGATTATGTCACCTTCCTTTAGCGACACAGGGATCAGCGTGGGCTAGATGTTCTTCATAAAATCTAGGCTCTCCTAAATCGCCATACGGATTCAAGGAGGGGGGCATGAGCCGTAGCAGCTGTTACTGTTAGCCGTCTTATTTTTGTTAAATATCGAACAATTGAGCTGTGCTTGTGCTCAACGTCAGTTATCCAACTGACGTCTAAGCGAATTCACGCCAGTTTATCGAGCGCTGCGCCTGAGGTCTCTAAAACACACAGCTATGATGGTTGCTGAGCGCTTGTATTTTTTGAATAGTTCACTATCGAACGGTTAACCAGCAAGTATGTAGTTTGAGGGTGGTCCCAACAAGCCTTGCAGTAGAGCTTTACGCTTTTCAGGTGAGGTATACGGCAAAGCATGCGGATGAGTCAGCTAGCCATTTTCAAGATATCCGATCCAAGAACAGAGATATGGTCAGTGTGCTCGGTGTCCGCGAGCGAACGTCCACCAGAAAATTTCAACCTGGGGTTAGTCAGATGCAGTTAAAGATCCGGGTAGCAAATCACCAACAAAGTCGGGTGACACGGAACAGCTTGGCGTGGTAGCAACCATTGTCATGAACTCGGGTGACAGCTACCTGTGAACCTGTAAGCATGCGAAGGCGCACAGAGATTTTAGAAACACGAATTTATGTGAAGCACCTTTGAGCGACGGATTCTGTCACAACGTATTCTGCCAACGCATTCAACAAGGAATGTCTTTGTTTTGCGCTGTGGCAGCATTCAAGCACCTGTGGTGGAGTTAATATGTAGTCAATGCATCCTCATCCAAGGGGGGAGGGAGGGAACCGGCTTGATTCTAGTGTATCACACTCCTGATAATGGATCAGTGTAAGCAAGATGATATTGGAGAGCGATCTGGACGCTGCGGCTAGGAGCCTGATGCCACGGTCGTCTCCGCAAGGGTCGGGACTATAACGGAGAAACTCCACTTAATTGGTGTCTTACATCGGTGCATTGGGATTTGCAGTAGATTTGTCAAGATTGCTACCAGTGCTTTGCCTCCTCCTTTTTAGGGAAGAGTGGTGTGTAGGCAATTGGGGTCTGATGTCCCGTCGCGTCTAAAGGGTAAAATTTCGTGACTGGGAGCCGGTGTTTATATCCTATTCAGGTTTGCGTAGTGACAAGAGAGTTTGCGTTGGAACCGGCTAGCTCGACTGCACTTCTTAGTGGTCGGCCCTTTGCCCGAAACGGTTCTTCTGTGAACAGTCATTTACCTATCTTCTTTGAAGACGGTCTCAATTGTACCGAACAATCGGATTCAGTTAATGGAATAATTTGAAACAGGGTACGATAGACGACTGTTGCAGAAGTCTGCTATCCACCGGCGCTCCATGTCTGTCTGCTTTCTACGGGAGCGATGAAACAGCTCAGGGCATACTGTAACAAACCCAGCTTTGTAGTCTATACTAAATAACAACTGTTATCTTTAGTCCAGAAATATTTCTGTATGAATAAATGTGAAGCTATGGCAGATAAATGGCCACTGCTATCATCAGGAAGGTCAGCTTCCTGAAAGCGACCACCGAATGCCCGAACTCTACCGAAGCCCTCAGCTCCGCTAGATGTTGACCAGACAGACAACGCCCCCTCAATATGCAGCGCGTCACAGCCTTGCATCAAACCTAGAAAGCGCGAGTCAGTGTTGATCAAGGTCAAACAACGCCCCCGCGATATGCAGCACGTCGCACCCAGACCGTGTGCGTCAGCATTGGACCAAGTTCAGACAGAGTCCTTCCAATAAATAGCTTGAGACCGTCGTACTTCAGCACTCGCATGCACTCACGCTCTCGCACTCGCTTGTTCGGAATATAGCTGTTGTGCTCCTTTCTGTGAGTCTTTGTTTCCGGCATTAGGCACTGGAGCGGGTCAGCAGCAGATACCACAGATTGTCGAATCTGCAGATATAACAAGGCAGACAGTCTCAAAAGATGTAACTAGTCTGTCTCATGTTATGCATTTTTCCTCGGACTTGTCATCAACATCATTACCATCATTTTGAAGGGTCGTATCCAACAGCTTTTAAGCTATTGTGGTAGCATACTGTGGGGTACGTAGGCCTGACGAAATGATTGGACAAGCGACTCAGCAGGAAAGCAAATTGATGAGGACACAACCACAATCAACAACCCAAGCCTGAAGAGTACGACTCTAACACCGTGAATAAGTGTCAGTGGGTCGGAATCATATCAGAAGACTGAATCCTGGTCGTGGGGGCTTGATGTGTATGAATGAAGGCTTAAAATCTAGCAAGGACGTCGTGTGATTCGAACTCCATTAAAGATCACTTATTTGCAACATATGTGCAAAAAGCAAAACTGAAGGAATATAAACCTGTCAAGAAACAAGTGGAAAGATGCCATCAGACGCAACACCAAAAACCGAATAATCATGAAGCATTCTGTAGATCGTAACAGCAAAACAATCCGTGAAAAAAGGTGTTTCGCTAACCTCGAGTATTGGACAATTTCCGAAGAATGACGAGAACAGTTTGACATTGATCGTAGCCGACATGAGGACCACTCGTAGTTCCGGACGAGCAGCGACCAAACATTTGACCAAACCCAAAAGACAGTCAGTTTGCCAATGCCGTTCATGAACCTACAGGATGGAAATGAGCAATAGAAGGATACGTGAAGAAACGTTGATCAGAATAACATCATATAGGTGTTCAAACTGAATCATCCTACTCACCTCATCCAAAACCAGAGCATCGTACTCCTTCAAAAATGGATCCAACTGCATTTGTCGAAGTAGCAAGCCTTCGGTGAGGAATAATATTTGGGTTGCTTTAGTACGGGAGCGTTCGAAGCGAACCTAAGAGAAAAGGACGAAAAAACGAAACAAAACAAATCAATCGGAGATGCTGCATGAGCCAAAGCGATTCAGATGTAACTGAGGACAGTGAGCTTAAAAACCAAAACTGCTTATTTCTGGGTCTTATAATGAATTTCAAAGCATGCAGGACCTTGATCTACACTACCAAGGATTGTTTCCTCATCATTGGGATCGATTTCATATCACCTAAAAACACGATAAAATAACAATTTAAATGATTGCTTGATTCACAAATCAAGGAGAAGCTGTCAAAGAGAAACTATTGATTGTTAAATTTATCCGGATTCAACCCATGCAACGAAATTCAGTATCCATTTCACAGATTTCTGAACTGGTTACCGGAGCAGCAGTCGAAGGCAACATTACGTCCGCCGAAAAGTAGGCAGACGAAAGTTTGACACCATAAGCTGTGGCATTCCAACCACCTTGCTGAACGGAAACTAGAATAGTTTGGTTGAACCGGACTAAGCATTTAGATGACCTAAGTATTTACTGCGAGTCCGACGACTCTCGTCAGACAGGCCAGCTGAAAAATCCCAATACACCAATTTCTGTGTCCGTTGTGCGGCCGCACACAGCTCTAAGATCGCGGGGACTGGCCATGAATGTTTCCTCGTTCCAGAATATCCTCTCTAGTGCGAATTGGTTTCCATAAATAGTTTCGTCCTGGTCGGGGCTCACCAGGTAAAAATAGCGGGTTGGGTTAGAAGTCCACACTTGGACTTAGCAACACCCGGCCGCCAACCACACTTATGTGTATGGTATATATGATTCAGATGGGTTTTCAGAAGGGTTTGATAAGCAATTGGCAGTTTTTAACTTGGCAACCTATCGCTCTTGACAAAAGTTTCATCAGGCCAAGTGAGCAGGTCACCAAGTTGTCCAGGTTTTGAGGCAGAAAAAGAACCAATCAGTAGGACGCCTTCATATTAGCACACTAGATCACTTTTGAGTGTCAACTGACGGTTCTGGTCGGTTAGTGTGGTTGCCAAAATCTTGCGTTGGTGGGTTGGGAGAGTTTCAGCTTAGTTCTGATCGGATTTGGTTCATTAGTCTTCCACTTCAAGGTGCTTCAATTGATGATTCACAGCGGGTGCCACTGGTAGATTTTGTTGGTCTTCGTAGGCTTGTGAGTGTTACGACAATTTAGTTGTTGATAGGGGAGGGAGGGTGGGTGAGTTTAAGTGCAGTTAAGATGAATACTCTTCCTTCTCACAACCGCACACCAACACATGTCAGGTGGACTGATCCAAAACCGTTCTCCACACGCTTGCCAGTTCCACCCCATCTACTCTGTTGACACTGGGATGCTTGGCAATTTCTACCGCTTCGGCCATCAGTCTCTGTGGGGCACACCGAAGTCCTCGCCTCAAAACCTCAACATTTTCGAAATCTATTTTGGGTCCCATGTCCAGTGCATGTTCGGCAATTGCCGAGTCTTTCAGTTACGCTCTATATTCATCTGCGTTCCTTGGCGGCCGGTTTACATTTCTACCGTGCTCTTTAATCCTGGCCGTCTGTCCTGTGTAGACCTTAGTGCGGTGGTTACATTTAATTTCGTAGACAGTCCTTGGTTCTGCTTGCTGGGAGGCGATCCTTCAATTGCACCAGTGCAGAGCGCCGGGTGTTGCCCCTCCAAGAAGCTACTTTTATGTTGGCCGTGTTTAGAGTCCTTTGAATGATCTCCGACGTCCCTGGGTTATATGGAATAGCAGCGATCTTAATCCATTTCCTCTTGGGTTTCCCTACCAGTAACAAATGGGCTTTATTAGTTTAGTGCAGGAACCGAGTTGTGTTGGGAATCGGGATATTTGTGAACAGGAATATCAGGCAATTGAACCATGCTACATCTCTTTTGATGAGTCCCAATCAAGACGAAATGAGTAGTGGATTTTTTGGAAGGGTTTGAACAGATCTGTTTTTGAATTATCACATACGACAAAAACTAGGCCCGCACGCTTGGAACATTCACACTGAGAACAGGTTACCTAAAATATTTTTTTGAACGCGGTGTTTAAGCTCTGCGGTTTTTTTATCGTGTTACGGATGGAAAGTTGTAATGTACGTCAAAATCACACAACCTGAGTGTAAAAACGGCCGTGCAGAAAACTCTGGTACCCAGTTGGAAAAATTCGAATTGTGTAAAATTTAAATACAAACGCTTGATGGATAACTTGCAAACGAGGACAGAGACAGCCAAGCTAGCCCATTGGATAGGTAACATACCTGATACCCGACTTTTGAACCACATTCATTGAGCAGCTCTGTGCTGACACGCGAAGCCAGACTGATACAAGCTATGCGACGTGGTTGGGTCACTGCAATGTGTTTGTAACCGCGTCCGCATGGTTGATCGTTGGAATCCAGATCACCGTTGTGAAGATATTGTGGGACTTGAGTGGACTTCCCGCAACCTGTATCTCCCGCAACCACAACCACCTGATGTGTGGCCAGGTGGCTAAGCAAAGGAACCCGATAGGCAGCCATGGGAAGAGCAGCTTGGTCACGTTGGAGTTTGATGATCTTGGCAAGCTTCATAAGAGAATAAAGCAACAGAAAGTTAAGTGAGGGAAAAACTACGGCAGTAATGCACTATTCAGATAAGACCATGTTATTATCGCCCTGAGTACCTTGAAAATACACAAAGCGATCATGTGATTGGCCAGGCTTGTTCAGAGGCACTTAGAGTGGACCTTCCTTGAGCGCTGAGGAGTATTCTCTCAAAGGGACCAAATCTCAGGGGACTGCACCGAATTGGCCTGAGTTCGGAGGTGTTCTCTCTTAGAAAGCCATATACTGTTGGACTACTGTGTATATTACGTAAGTCCAATAGTGACATACTATCGTGTATAACACTGACACCATGTGCAGCAACCGTGCCAAGCTTGTTGGGCCTAGACAGCATTTGACCTCAGGCATATGACCTCAGTGGCAATGGTCGGATATGGTATGGAGGGCTGATTTCGTGCAGCCACTCTTATCTGCTGGTAGGTGATGAGGAAGTTACTGGTGTCCCACCGACACTATTGTCTCTCAAGCTCCTCACATCTGTATATTGCAGTTGAAGCATAGGGGTAAGGCAGCTAGCAAGAGTCAACTGAGCGAAGTGAATACACATTGCCTGAAAACTAGAGATGTCATAACTGACATACGGGGCACGTGACCAAGCCATCCTAATATATGCAGTGTGATCAGTCAATCTTTTGTGGACGAGTTTTTTCTCACGAAAACCATTCAATATACTTCAGCATTACTGACCTGGCGTTCCAATCAGACTCGCGTACAAAAAGACATACTTGGTCGAAAGAGACATCAACGAAATTAGGACCTAAAAAACTTTCAACGGCTACCCAACACGCTTAATCACGTTGCTGGTGTAACTATGGGAAGTTTTAGGCCCAATTCGCCTGATGTTCTACCGATATGACCGACAGACTATTTTGGGACAACATACCTTCTGTTTTTGAAGAAAATCGAAGAACATATCATAAACAAGATGGAGACAGTGCAAATTTGCGGAAGAAAGACCCGTGGAGGAACGTCCTGAGGAATCCATATTGTAGAAACGTATAACGTACTGTCAACATCCCTGTGTCTAATATAATCTTCCAGACGGTAGTTTGTAGTCCGGATGTTCAGGCGCAACCGTTTTTGGCACAATGACTTGAGGTGGCGCCCACCA